GGAGATGGGATTTTATAGGATTATTAGGATTGGTCGGATACAGCTCGACTATGCTTTGATCACGGCCATGATTGAGCGATGGCGACCGGAGACGCACACTTTCCATCTTCCCATTGGCGAGGCCACCATCACACTCCAGGACGCAGAGATTTTATATGGCCTGTCCGCTGATGGCTTGCCTGTTTTACTCCCTACGACCATGAGATATTATCCGCGGGAGGCATATTGGGATATGCTGCACATGCTCACTGGTTTCATGCCGGAGGACCAGGAGGTAGCGTCTGGGGTCAGTCGCATACAGTTAGTCCCCATTAGAGACCACCTGGTGCAGCTCCACGATACTATCACCGACGAGTCAGCGGAGGTGGATGTGCAGCGATACACGAGGCTGTTGCTGCTCCTTCTATTTGGGGGGGTCTTGTTCCCGAACACTTCGGGGAACCTAGTGAGCCTCCGTTTTCTGCATCATATCACCCGGTTCGAGGATACAGCCAGCTACAGCTGGGGTGGTGTTGTCCTCTCATTTTTGTACAGGCAGATGTGTCGGGCTTCCATGGGCACACAGAGAGACGTTTGTGGCTTCCTGCCGCTTCTACAGGTGACAACATATTCAACGAATATGTCCGTTAGTTACAATTCTACGTAGTTATAGTTTATCTGACACTATACATCAACTTTCTATGTTAGGTTTGGGTCTATGAGCGATTTCTGCAGCTTCGGCCACCTCTACCACAGCTACCGGCTAATGTAGACATTCCGAATCTCCCTCTAGCTTGTAGGTGGGTTATGCGTCGTAGACTTGAACGAGAGTATGATGCCCATCATAATCTCCCCCGCATCAGGGATGTCTTGGATTTGCTGGAGGACGCACAGGTGAATATCTAACTAAACGTACCAGTTATTGTTTAATTTAGTGTTGCGCATACTAACGGTTTGTGTTGTTATTTGATAGTTCATCTGGACGCCGTACAACTAGGAGGTGATAAGTACCCTGCCAGCGTATTGTACGTTCGGCCGACATATTTGGAAGGCTTCTGTCCCTCTCACATGCCTCGATATTGTGGAGCATCATGCCTCAGAGCGGGTTTTTCGTCAGTTTGGCCTGCCGCAGCCTATACCGACTCCACCTGCATGGCATCCTTTACATTACGAGAGGGATGATCGGTCTAGGGTGGACGACACATTTATTGACTGGCTTAACGCCCAGCTGGCTATTTGGGACAGGCGAGGTGACTTAAACCCAACTCTGCAGCACTTTCCTATTGAAGGTTATATGGCATGGTACCGCACTGTTTCCCGACTTTTTATCGGGAACCCAGTTCATCAGGCAGAAGGTCGGTACGTCTCATACGCCGGGAGACACGAGGCTCTGGTATGTTTTCTGTTATAATTAATTATATACCTGTAATTTCGTGCCAAATACGTAGTTTAAATTCTTTACTTTTGCGCAGGCGATTGGATTGCATACGGTCTATCGTATGGGGCAGCGGATGCAGAGTTATGTCCACGATCCTGTGGTCATGCAGGACTACAGTCGTCGATTCATGGATTTGGCTGCCCAGACATTGCAGTGAGCCCGATCGGATCAGCGTTTAGCACACGAGGCTGATTATATTGACCCAGCCACGTACCAGCGAGGTCGTGGTATCCCACGAGGTGGTGGTGCCCGAGGAGGTGGTGGTGCCCGACGAGCTGCTGGTGCCCGATGACCTCGTGCTGCCCGAGGAGGTGGTGTTCAGCAGGGGGGCCATGATGCTCCTGACGATGATGTTGCTGCTGATATGACAGGTGGCATGCATGAGACTGACATGCCATCTTACAGCCTGGGAATTTTTGACACTCCAGTGCCATCACAGATGACCCCATCGGGTCAACTATTGATCACGGACTCGGATTTTCAAGGAGCTGAGTGGGGTAGATATTTCCCTGGCCCGTCTACCACTGATGAGGGTCGACCGACCCGAGATTTATTTAGTGGGCACCGACTGAGTTATGGCAGCTCTTCACATGCGCAGGTATGAGTTTATTAGTATTGAATTTGAATTTGTTTTAACTATAACTTATTTATTTTGTTACACTATATTAATTTCCTTATTTCAGGCTTCATGTGATGCTGCGACAGATGACTACATTCAGGATCCAGACACGATTATGGTAAGATAATATAAATTGTTATGAATTATTTATGAATTATTATATAGTTTTCTAAACTAAGTTTTATATTATTATGTAGCATTCTACTGGACCTGACAGCACCATCGATACATGTCATCCTGCGCCGCATCCGGCTATAAGGAGAAAACATGATGATGATGATCCTGATAGCGTACCCGGGCGGGAGGGGATATGCCTCAGGCCGACGGCTACATTGAGACACACCGGATGCGGGACACATTGAGTCGGCCTTCCTTTTTTTTATTTGGTGTAAATAATATTTTTGTACATATTAACAACAATATTTAATTGAATATATCCATTACTTTTTTTAGTTCTCCATGTGTTTTATTGTTTCGTATAACAACACAAGCATTTAAACTTAAATGCCACTAATTAAAATAAATTACAGTACAACAAACAAGGAAAACATAACAACAACACAAACACAAACATAACATGCCAACATAATAAAAATACATAAAATATGAAAAATACACTAAGCACATACAGGCCATTGTTTAGTCCCGGCTGCCATTTATTCTCCGCTCCAACCACTTAAATCTTTGTTCCATTTGTTCTTTTTCTTCTTCTAACTCTTTCACTCTCGCCTTCACCTTCGCAAGTTCCCGTTTATATTTATTTTTACGTTCCTTCTGTGCTTCACAATTCCATTCTGCTCTCCATTTTTCATCTCCTACCTGCTTTAGTTTCTCCCTCATTTCTGTAATAATTCTATCGCTTTCTCTTTGTACTCCCAGTTGGCATAACCACTTATTATGAAGAGATTGCAGTTGTTCTCTGTAGCATTCCTGATAACATGGTTCATCAACCCATTCATCAAACTCACACATAGGTTCGCCGGGAAACTTGTACAACTGGTTCATACAGTGCCAGTAGCGGCGTCCAACATCACGACCTTCCCAGCAACTGTTCATCACGCATGCTTTTCCACAGTAGCACATTGGTGGACGAAGAGGTTGAGCCATTTGTGAAATATTTCCTTTAAGTAAAAAAAATCTTTCTTTTAATGAAATATTTGCGTTTAGTAAATTTTGAGCACACAAAATGACTACAATGAGCCCGTTATTTATAGGCGAGAGAACACACACATAACGCCAGGTATAATGGCGCTATATTTAGCGTGTTACATATCATGATGTTGACAAGACTACTTTATGTCAGCTGGTCAGCTTTTTCAGTTCGACAAGACAACACACACATAACGCCAGGTATAATGGCGCTATATTTGGCGTGTTAAATATCATGATGTTGACAAGACTACTTTATGTCAGCTGGTCAGCTTTTTCAGTTCGACAAGACAACACACACATAACGCCAGGTATAATGGCGCTATATTTAGCGTGTTACATATCATGATGTTGACAAGACTACTTTATGTCAGCTGGTCAGCTTTTTCAGTTCGACAAGACAACACACACATACTAAATGGAAATTCGTGTTACATTTAAATATTCCTAGAGGAAAAATAACGAAAAAGAAAAAAAGGTGAAATAAGTGGACCGATATTTCTTCCATTATCTAGAATCAAACCAAATATTGTGAAAGTTGAATTATGTTAATGTCAAAGTATCTTTATTTTTCTTATATATAGAAGAGTGGTAATGTGCTGGACTTGGAAAAAAATTATTTTATTACAAGCATAATTTTATTTCATAAATCAGGCAACATACACATATTAACTAATTATTACAATATCAACTCATGGGTAGTTAGGTACACTAGAAGAACACCCACCCCGAGCTTGATTACTGTTGCCACCCAAAGGACATTTTCTACGGTCGTGTCCTGTTTGCGAGCATATACCATATTTTCGCGCATAAACTGTATCACTAACATCCATTTGGTTCCGTATACG